ATCATAAATGATCACCTAATTTTCTGATCAATCACTTGCACGAATCATCATTTCACAGTTTTAAATTCCTAACAGCTAGCATTCCAAACAACAAATTTAGAAATGATGTTTGAAATGATGTACACTTTTGTAATACACTTTTACGTCTAGATTAAATAATTTAACATTTTTCCATATAAATGTAGACATTTTAATTGGTTGGATTTGCGTTGTGTTTCTCAAAATCATTTCTAAGGTTGTGGGTGATCCAGGTGAGTGAAGCAAGTTCCTTTTCTTTTCTCTTTATTTGTGATTAATGATGCATGTATAGTATACCAAATTTCTCAAGAAAAAAAATCAAGTACTATTGAATATCAATTAAAATATACTTATTCTCTCAAATTATATTCATTGCTCTGCTTATGTTAAATATAATTAATAATTTAATGCATTAAATTTTCTTTTTCTTGTAGAAATTTACATTCTAATTCTTGGATTGCATAATCACCATACATTTGCATAAGAGCACATTCTGCCAAATGACTTCAAACCAAGGTTTGAAATAAACATAAATATATATTATTATTATTTTGTGTATATGTGTTTATTAATAGTATATTTCATTATTTTTTAACAGATGAGCACATTCTAATCCATGAGAGTAGAAAAACCAAATACAATCAGTTGAATGTAGATCAGAAGAGAACTTACATTCAGAAAGTGATTGATAATAGTAGGAGGAAAAGGAATGTTTTTGCTGGTAGTAGTACCAATAGCAAGCAGATTGATTTGTTTCGTGGAGCGCAAAAGAGGGAATATGAGCATGGAGGTTTGCGTTGAATAATTTTATAATTTATTAAAATAATTACACAATTTTATAGATCTAAATTTATTTAATACTAAAAACTAATATTTTCTTTCTAGGGTAAATTAACCATGAACCAGTATGTTCTTTGTTACATAAACTATGCACTCCAAAGTCTTGTTCATTTTGTGGAGCAAAAAAGTTTGAACACGAGCCACCAACATCCTGTTGTCACAACGGTGAAATCCACCTAGCAGATGTGAATGTTAAGGACGAGTTATATGCCCTTTATACAGTACAAACCCAAGAGGCAATTGAGTTTCGAAGACAAAGCAGAAAGTATAATAGTATTTTCTCATTCACTATATTGTTCTATTATTGCCACATCCATTATAAGTATATCCTTCTGTTAATGCATCTCATGACTTAATACTATGTTCTCTTTCAGATTTCTAGATTGAACTAAAATGCAAGGCTACCTTCAGTTCAGCCATATGTTTATGGCTTATCATTTTTAAGATCAATTTCGGCATTTGATGATATGAGCGGCACTTATTCCATACTATATATCTATTACCTATTACTATTATTAAAGATTAAAGATATGCCCTATTTCGGTATTCTATCCCTATGAAAGTCTTGAATTCAAATAATTCCATGAAATGTCCACATAATTTACACATAGATAAGGGTCATGAAAAGGTATGTCCTATGTCCTGCTTAACTACTACTATTAAATGCCTATGTAACCGTAACTCAATGTTTGATTTATCATCATGTTTCTTTAAAGAACAAATGTCAAATTCAGGTATATCAACATCAACAATGCACATGGAAAAAAGCCATATAGATCTCAATGATTTGAAGGTATGTATGTTATTGATGAGTTTGTCAAGTTGAATTCAAACATGTTTATTCTAACTGTTTCATTCATGTTTTGCAATGTCTCTAGGTTTAATGTACACCTGATCTAACTTGTTATCCTTGTGTTTATATTGTTGCAGGTTGGCTTGTTGTATGATGAGGTAGCATTACAAAATGTTCTAAACATGACTGCTGACGGGACAAAAGAAGAAAGGGAGATGTGGAGGAGAAAGGTTTAAAGTTTTATTTAAACATATTTCTTGAGATTGCACACAGCTTACTACTGTCTGATTTATGTGGGCGCCTTTATATTTGAAATATTTGTGCTATACACGTTGAATGTCTTCAGTTATTGAGAAATTGATCATTAGAGTCTCAACGGGTACCAATGATTGGCTTAAAGACGCCATTTTGAGATGACTTGTTAAGATATGTTGCTGAAGATGTTCCAAAGCTAGCTAAGGTTGATCAACTGACATTTCCAATTGCTTACTATTTGCCCATAATTAAATTTCAAAGTGTGACTTTTAAATGTTTTATACTATTTTTTAGGATTGCTTGGAAAGAAGAAGTTACAAAGAAGCTGGATTTCTGAGAGAAGTGGCTGAGGTGGTTAATTAAGGTAAGGACAGTTACCAATTTTGTTGTCTGGATGACTTAAATGTGATTTTTATGAGTCAATGGGTGCTGAAAAGATCATATGCGCTATTGTCACCTGTGTCTTTGCTACAGGTTTGTGATTTGTCTCAATTTTTGAGTTGGGTCCCAATTAATTTGTGTCTTAATTTAGTTTTTCTGATCAAAATTTGATCTTTGTTGTTTTTGAACAGTGTGTTCAGTTGTAGGAGCGATTACTGGTGGGGTAATTGGATTGGCTACTGAGAGTGGGCTTTTTCGAGGGGCCGGAATCGGGGCGATCTCTGGCTTTCCCTTTGGAATTCGAACTATTCTGGTATATGGAGCATTCTCTATGTGGTAATTTCAAACATAAACCCAATTCATTTTTCCAAAGAATACATTTTATGATATTTGTATTCATTTTATGCAATTGATTGCTTGCAAATTGTCATCCTCGCTAACCTTTTGAGTGGAAGGCTTGTCAGAGAGAAGGTTGGCCCTGCGGTTCAGAGCGCAGTGCAGAGTCAGGTATATTTTAACATTTACTGGGTAATGAAACATGCATCATAGTATAAGACTCGTGTTTTTTCTGGGGATATTGTTCATTGTAGATGAGTGCTGTTGATGCTCCCTTCATTGAGGTTCTTGATATTTTTGAGACCGGTGGCACTGGAGGCATGTCGAAGGATTCTGTTAATAAGCTTGAAAAGAGTAAGATTTCGAAGCAGAACAATGGTGATGACTTTGGAGAGAAAATTTGATATCTGTTTGCCTTCAGGTTTGTTTATGGACATATTTTGAGAGCTTTATGTTCAAAAAATTTCGTGTTTTGGAGGAAATGTTAACTTGGCTTTATTCATTTGATTGTGTAAATTAAACGTACGTTGATTTCTGAAGTAAGTGTTAAGCTTCATCCATGGGAGTACTCTGATTGGCTTTTGCTGGAACACATCTTGTCATAGGGAGCCCACACATGTATACTTACATGCTAGGGCAGCGAAAGAAGGATCTTTCAAAGGCAAAGATGGCATGAAATGTGATGAAAGTAGGAATAGTAAGTTTTTTTTCTGTATTATTTGAAGAATGCATAGCTGTTAGATGGTGGCTCTGCATGAGTGGTTGTATTGGCGTTCTTTAATCCCTAAGATTATCTTCTTGTTGGCAGGGAGTGCTCTTGGTATAGTTGTGAATGTATTCCTCTGAAAAAATAGATTGCCGATGTTTTATGATTTATTGATTAAATGTGTTTGCTTTCAGCAGGGTGCTCATCTCAAAAACGCCTTATTTTATGAAACGTGATAACAATGAACTTATTTGCATTTCTTGTTTGGTTATGTTCATCGTCTAAAACCTACTATAATACTTCTACAGACATTTGTTTAAAACCTACAAGGGTTTCTACTTTCAGGATTATTAAGAGTTCATGTTTGTTTTCCTCCTTCAATTATGTCGATTTTTTGACTGAAGCAATTTCAGAAAATGATCATTTGTTAGCAATTTAAAAAAAAATTGATGCTACTATTTTAGTAACATTTATTTATATTGGATGATTATGATTAAATAGGTTGTCTGATGTCAACTATATATAGGTAGCATTGATTGATTGAAAATCAATAATGTATATCAAATAAAATTCTTTTATAAAATTATTCATTGTTTTCTATTGGTAAGTATGCAAACAATCTATTATCATCACGTTCATACATAATGTAATTTCATTATTCAATCTTTTTTAATTTTTAAATTCTATCCATATGTTTGAAACATGGATTAAATTAAATAAATCATAATGAAATGGATCAATAATAAATGTAAAAATTTACCACGTTCATTGCACGTGCAATCCAACTAGTTTAGAATAAATATAGGAGTTTAATATATAATCTAGCACATTGTTTGGAAACGAAAGTAAGCTAGAGATTTTGATTTTATATTTAAAATCAATATGTAGTGTAATTATATCTTATCTGACAATTACGTAAAAAAATTTTTGACAATGGTTTTAAATGTTTTCCCCTAGATGGTCCAAAATTGTTCTCCAAGCAAAAAAAATGTGATGAGGTAGTGATACGATAAGCTATTGTTTCTATTCATGAAAATTTGTGATGGTTATATAAATAAATAAATAAATGCATAGCGATTCTATGTAAAAGTCATAATTTTTCATGATAGTCCTGTGAATTTTGTCCGAATATTGGACAAATTTTCAAAACCGACCACTTTGGGATTTTAATTGCAAAAAACGACCCATTTCAATCTTATTTATAAAAACCGACCCAGTTGGTTGAAACTGGGTCGGTTTTTAAAAAAAAATTTCCCAAACTTCACGGGAGTTCAACTCCCGTGAAGTTTTGTTATGAGAAAAACTTCACGGGAGTTCAACTCCCGTGAAGTTTCCCCAAAAAAATTACAAAAACCGACCTGTTTTCAGCCCCTGGCTGAAAACATGTCGGTTTTTGTAAATATTTTCAAAACCGGTCGTTTTTTGCAATTAAAAACCCAAAAGGGTCGGTTTTGAAAATTTGTCCTCCGAATATTAGAAAGTATAAAAAAAGTAAAAAAAGAATTGGAATAAAGTTTTAACACTTATTCTGCACCGCACTGACACCAGAACCCCCACCCTCGCTCCCCAGCTCGCAAGAACCAAGCACCCGAAGTCCGTCCACTTCCCAAACCAAAAGAACCAAACCCAAAACCCCAGAAGAACAAAGAAAAAAAAAATCTCTCCATTAAAATGGAAAAACCACAAGAGAATCTCCCCGAAAAAGCCCTAGATCCAATTCCAAAACCTACAGCGACAGAACCAAACCCCACTCAAAACCCGAACCCTGCGACGATCATAATCGGAGGGGAAGACGGGCGGCGAGAAGAAAGATTTGAAATTGAGCCGGGAACGCTACGGTGGGCGCATTGAAGCGGCGTGGCGGAGCGGGCGTGCGGACGGATGTTGGAAGAATCGTCCGGCTGAGCGAGGTCGGGGTGGCGTTCAGCTGTGGAGGAGGAGAAGCGAAGAACACGAGCGGAAAGGTAGGATTTTGCAATTTTTTTTGGGTGTGATTTCTAGATTTTCTAAGTTCAATATTTGAAATTTACCTCGTCAGTTCTGCATATCTCAAAATTCTGCGAGTGGCTGAGTATAGTTCAAGATTTGAGTGGTTGGGTACAGTTCAGGTTCTGTGATTCGGTGTAATTTCTTTATTTTCAAGATCAAGATTTGATATTTTTTGGTAAGTTCGTCTTTCAAAGCTCTGCAAACGTCTTGAGTTTAGTTGTTAAAGACACAGGAGAACTCATCTCTAGAAGCTGCTTGCTAGAGAGAGAAAACTAAAATCTCTAATAAAACACCACGTTTGATTCCCGGTTAGTCGACCCTAACATAACACCATCCATTATCCATACTGGCTCGCTTTCCAGTAATTTAATCTCAGTTAGAATAGTTGAATACCGGTGTCCGCCCTTTGGCTTTGCGCTAAACTAGTCCCAACGAACAGTGCAATACCTAAACTGGGTGGCGTGGGCACATACACTGGTTTGGCACACACACTTGACAATACAGTTCTTCAAAAAATAGAACATGACTATACGACAACTTGACAACATGGGTTGGGGTAGGGGTGGGGTGGGGTTTGTAACTTTATATATTATAATAGTTATTTCATTTTAATAGTGAAAAGAGAATTTGTCTATGTGCATACGTACTCATATTCATACATCCAATATTCTAACAATTGTATAACAATGTAAAACGTATAATGATTGCATATATGCTATTTTTGACCTGTTATACGTTTTTATGACTTTGCAATGGGAATGTGATTTCTCTTCTCTACTTTATACAAAGTGTTAGACATATATAAATTTAGTCTTAACATTTATAACATTTTCCACTATAGTGTTCGTGTATGAATGAAGTGAGATAACTCAAACATGTAATACTTGTAAAGAATTATATGTGAAGTGTGGGATATATATCCAATGAGTGCATGATGAGGGTTTTAAATTAAAACATGTGTTATATAATATCTGAGATGTTTAAATATATGTATGCACATGCTTGAGGAGTGACCAGGGAGGTACTGGTTTCCGGTATGGATGTCGAAGTTTTAGATATGGGTACAACTTCATGATAGAAGGCCATGCTACATAGGTCCTAGGGCTAGGAGAACTCATCCCTTAAAGCTAATGGTTACATGAAAGAAATTCAAATCCCAAATAAAATATGCACTTGACTTCCATTTAGTCAATTTGGAACCTGACGATAGTATGTTGTTTTTTCCAGTTAAAAGAGAGATAATTTTGGTGTGTAGGATGGAAAACATAGGTTCATGAGCATTGTGGTCTGGGTTAGTTCATTGTTTCATATGAAGGATGTAGTGCCAGAATCATATAGGTTACTCCAAATTTTGCTAGTGACATTTTGGATAGTCATAAGGGGAAGGGAAAGAAACATTTACCTGTGATTTATCTATTGGGATATTAGAATTTTGGAGTTCCGAACTTTTGATTGTTCTTGAGGAATAGTTCATGATCAAAGCAAGAATTAATATTTGTAATTGTCAATTTGAACTCGCGTGTCAATCGTACAATTGCATTTCAAACCTCGTTTAAGTTTGCCGTGAGCTAGAATACCACAGTACACAACTAGAAGTCTAGAACCCTTGTTCCTCTTTTTTATTTTTTAATAAATGAGGATGAGAGCTTGGTGTGAACTTTCACATTAAAAGTAGCATTTCGTTTGAGATCTTGAAACCAAATAGACCAGAAAAACTTTCCAAAGTCCCCCTCTCAGTGCATCCTTTCTTGACCACAAATTATGCATTCAGTCAAAAGGAAAAAATTATAACATCATTGATTTCTACAGGCTACAGCGATAGCAACCCAAAAAAGTAGACCCCTTCATCAGACTTCTAAGAAAATAAATAACAATCATCAGTAGCTACAACCTCTTTCCTCATAGCTTCAAGCCGTCGATCTCCTTCCTGTTATTTCTCTTAGGCCGTGAAACAACTTCTTCCTCGCCTCTTTTGAGTTTCTTATTCAGATTTTGATAGAATTTGGTATATTATACAAAAGCAATAGTGCATCTCTTTCTATGATGGGAACAACAACAAAGCTTTTATCTTAAAATTTTGAATTCAACTATACGAGTACCCTTTTTGTTAAGGGCTATCTCCTCTGCTTAAGTTAATTACTATCATATCTTCCACAACTTTTTTAAACCATGTTATCGTAGGCCTATCTCTAGTGCTTGTTCGTTCTTTAATTGTTACATGTGCTGGCTTTCATTGCATTTGGTCAAACCATCTCAATTAATTTTCTCATTTTATTGTCAATAGGAACCTGTAACCTTATACAAATGCACTTATTTCTTATCTTATCCCTTTAATTGGTATATGTGCTAGCTTTTGTTGCATTTGGTCAAATTAGGGGGAGGTGTAGGCTAGGTTGTGCCGGAACTGTGAAGTGACATGCCGGGTTTGTGGTAGGGTCAGTTCAGGCCGGAAGTTGGGCAGGTCTCGACGAGCGGGTTAGAACTTTGTTCACGGGTCTAGGACTGAACCTAGCCCGGCCTACAGCCCGCATAGGGTCAGGCCGATTCTAACTGGCTCGATACAATTTTGGTTGCATGTCAGACTTGCGGGTTGTTTTTTTTAATTTTTATGTGCTACCTAAAAGAGAGCTCTGTCGTTGTCGCTGTCACACTTGAAAATCCACATTGCGATAGTCTTTCTAATTGGACTAGTGATGGAAAGTAATGGGTGGGCTTTTATTTGACAGATTGGTTCTATCGCCACGTGCAAAGACATCAAATAATAGAAAGATAATGGCACTATTACAAACAAGGCCAGCCCCAGCGGTTGTAATTGTTAGGGTCATAGAACCGTTGGGGCTGATAATGACCCAATGATTAGCTAGGGGTGTTAAATGGGTGGGTTCCATAAATGGGTGAGCATGTTTTGCCCATTTACCCATTTATGACCCATTTAATATTTTCTAAATAGGCAGGTTTTTGTCCACTCATTTAATAAACGGGTCACCATTTGTCCATTTAACTATAGTAGCTATATATATAATATTTTTTGGTGTTTTTTTAACCTTTTAGGGGGTTTTTTAGTAAACTATTAGGTTTTTTTTGCAAAATTTTGGGGACTTTTTGCAAACTTTTTGGGGTTTTTTTTGCAAACTTTTTGAGGGCTCTTTGCAAATTTTTTTGGGGCCTTTTGCAGACTTTTTGAGTATTTTTTGCATACTTTTAGGGGGTTTTTACAATCTTTTGAGGGTTATTTTGTGTAAAATTTCTAGGAGCTTTTTTTCCCAAATAGAATCCTTCGAGAATTAGAAATTAGAAATAGAATTCATATTCAACAAATGAGTCAGAAGAATTCTATTGGCAAATATACAGATGATGTAATACATAATATATTAGGCTATGTGTAACATATATATTTACAATAAGGAACAAAAATATAGAGTTTAATCCGAACTTCAAGAACTAAAACCTGCAATCGCTACTCATGATCTGGTGCTAGGTTTGTGATAAAATACTAATAAATACAATAATATATCACATGAGAACATGATACAAATCACATTGACACAAACTTTGCGATACACTGCTCAACAGCTTCCACAAAGTTATGTACATAACCCATTTGAATTATCATAATATGCCCAGGCATGTACATAACCCATTCAGGAATAACATGAACATACTGAACAAGATAACATTAAAATTACCAGTCATGTATTTTTTTCTTTTTACTATACAAAGCACAAAGAACTCAAAGAATACATCACCTGCAAAATGATATACATTGTTTATTGTGATAACCAATGCCACAAGAAGCTACTTATGCCACATTAAAAATAAATTTAAATAGAGCACAACTTTTTCGAACGTGCAAACCTATCTTATGAATAATCATCACAACTCGCCTTAAAATGCCACAATAACCCCAATCAAAGAAAAAATGTAGACAAAATTTTGATGGGATAGGGATCATAACAAACACATTAACCAAACATCAAACCCCTCACGAGAGTCCACATAATTGTTGAACTGACAATTATTCATTTTAAGCATTGCAATGCAAGGGACCACACCAAACCCGAATAGAAAAAGGGAACACAACAAACCTAAAATCCCTGTTCATTGAGATAATCACCAAGCCTCTCAACAATCATATTGCACTGTCCAGGAGTTATTGGCTCATCATAAATGTCGAAGATCAAAGCAAGATTAGTTTTTTTGATTGTAACACCTCCTGAACCCTGAAAGAAACAAGCAAATAACCATTGATATATAAAGAAATAAAATAAACTACAAAAATGACTAGCAAACAAATAAGAAAAGATGCCAACAACTTAATAAAATAAATGGATTACAACGCTAATCACTTTTGCCTTCTGATTCAGAAACCTCTAGATTACTGAAATCATGTACTAATAAATTTTCTTCTTCAATGTCTGTCAGAGCTGTATTTAATAAGAAAAAAATGATATTAATATTCTATGATAAAATATTGATATGTAGTCCACAACAATACAAAAAAGCAATAAAGAAAAAAAAGAGGCAACTCACAAGGAATCCCGTCTAACCAAAAACCAGTACAAATTTGAGCTTCAGCGTTCTCCGGAAGAAGACAATTTCGATACTTGACAAGCACACGACCCGCAATGTTGAAAGCCGATTCAGAGACCACCGAAGTAATAGGAATACGCAATATATCTCAAGCCATCATCGACAACTGAGGAAGCTTCTCGTATTTGCCTTTCCAATACTCGAGAAAATTCAAATGATCATTTTTCTTCCAACTGACTAATTTTTCATCTAGATACTCTTCTAACTGAGACTTGGACCCGCCGACTGAATATAGTTGACTCTCAAACTGTTCAAACTCAACCATCTCATCATTAAGAACATCTCCAACGTTCTCTTCACCACTTCTCTCAGCTACAGATGTACCTAGAGATGCTCGCTCATATTATTTGTAAAGATTTCTCAGTTTCTCTAAGATAGTCAACAC